CAATGCCCTTTTCATTTAAAAAATATTCCCCTGCCTTTGAAGCTCTTAGCTTGGAAAATCATGCTTTCTTCTTGTTTTCTTTTCCTTTCTGCAGTATCAATTTGTAACATCGGTCAAGCCTGGCTCCAGCCTGGCGCCACTCATCCTTTCAGTGAAACAGTGGAAGGAGAGAAGGATAATGTTCTAATCAATTTAGAACAGTTTTCGCCATGGCCATCTTAGAATAGAATTGTAGAGTAGGAATTTAGAGAAGGATTGTAGAGTAGGATTGTAGAGTAGTAATGTAGAGTTGGATTTTAGAGTAGTATGGTCAGCTGGGCAGCAACAACAAGAACAGGAGCAACAACAAGAAGAGAGGCAGCTGCACAGCACAAGTGCCTGGCACAAAAACTGATTTTGAACAATCCTTTGAAAAGACTTCTTGATAGGAAACTAAGCACAGGGAGACTACATTCAGAGGAAACAGAGACCAGAAGAGAACAGGTAGCAAGTATGTTTGTCATCTATAAACATTAAAGAGAGCTGGACCTAACAGAGCCTTTCTTTTCTTGGGAATAAACACTTCAGTGTTTCACTCAACAAAAGGTTTCATACTTCCTAAGATTAAATGCATCTTGACACCTAGAATCAATTCCTACAAAGAGATGCCAATTTGGTAAGAGGACGAGCATTGCCAAATGTTCCCATCGTCTCCACCATGCTGCAATTTGCCAAAAGAATGAATGGCTTTCCATCTGTAAAGCAAAGCAGCTGATGCTGTAACCCATTCCAAGGGGGCTTTTGGCATCAGGACCCTCACCCTGTATGAGCAGGCTGAGCTCCAAGATGCCCTTGCCCGTGGCAAGTGCTTCCCTTCACCCTGACAGTGCGGATCAGTGGCTGCCATTGGACTCGGCCTCTCAGCACCGCACACGTCCCCCCCACCTTCCCAAGTGGGCACAGCGGGCAAGGGCAGCGAGGAGAGCAGTGCTACTCAGGCGCTGCTGTGACACGCACAGCTGCCCAGAGGAGATGCTGTCCCTCTCGGGAGTCCAGGCCGTGCCGTGCAGAAGCCGGCCCAGACGGGGGCTGCTGCCTCGGGCCAGCTCGGCTCTGCAGCGGCCGGCCGGGCGGCAGCGCCACTCTCCCAGCTAAGGAAGGCTCCAGCCCCTGCAGTCACAGCAGCCCTCAGGGCCAGGGCACACAGCAAGGCTGCCAAAGGCCAAGCATGAGCACTGACAAGCCATGGCCACAAGCCACAGCCAGCCTGAGCCCCTGACAAGCTGCTGCCCCCATTCAGGACACAATGGGATTGGCTTTGGCATCAGACATACCGAGGTGTGGATCAATTTTGTCTCAACAGCTGAAAGTACACACAGATGAAATGGGATCTTTTCTCAGCCCCACCAGGTCTTTATGGGAGGGCACAACACTGTCAGCTCTTATGAGCAAGAAGCAGATTAAATGGGTTGTGCTGCAGAATCACAAAGGGCTTGATGTGTTTTCCTAGAGGCTGATCTGAGCAGGGGTTGGGCCAATGGGTAGAACTCAAGCAACTGCTCCAGCAACAATTCCTGCTTCTTTCTTCAGTAGAAAGGGAAGCCAGGTAAACTTTAACGAGTCCAGGCTGCCCTCAGGGACAGCAGGAACATGCAGAGTGCTCTCTCCCTGCCTCAAAGCAGAGCACTTCCTTTTCTTTCCGATTGGGAACGGCTATAAAGAACGACACTGGACTCTCAAGGGAGTCTCAACACGAGAATTCTTTAGTTTATTGCTTCTGTCCTGTCTTGTAGACAGATACGTGGAAAGTACAGAAAAGAAACTCTTATTGGTTAGCAAAGTGCTACATCACCATCATTGGTCAGGGGCACTCTACCCCCCTGACCCTCTCCTGAAAGAGGAAACAAGAGGACAGATAAACAGCACCTGGCAGTTGTTTTCTGTCTCTGAGGATTGTTTTGAAATCCTCCTTTGAATTCCCAGGCTAGCTTCTCAGGCAGGACTGAGAGGCCATGGGCCTGCAGTTTCTGCAGCTCTCTGCAGCCTGTTCCAAAGCTAGCATCCATACTTCCTGTGGAGAGACCTAAATGTCCCTGTGACACCAAACTGAGGAGGTACATTTGGTACAGCTATGCTGGCACGTGCACACAATTCACTGTCCCTTAGACAAGAAATAAACTAGATGTACTCAGTAGCTCCGGGAAATCCTCCTGTGGCTGAGCAGCATCTGTGTCAGTGCTGGAGACGAGTAAGTTGCACAGGCTCCACTTCTCAGGGAGGGGAACCAAGGCTTCTTGGTAGCTCTGAGAGTAGAAATGAGTTGGTGTCAGAAAAGTGACTGGCAGAGATTACCCCAAGTACTCTTTTCAAATTCAAGCCCGTAAGAAGTTGCTCTTAGCCACATGCCAAGCTCATAAACTGGATTATTTTGGACACCTGCTTCTGAAACCAAATGGTCAAAACCAGAAATTGGTTTTAATTGAGTTCATAGCCACCTTCATATTCCATTTTCATGGATTTTCTGAAGGATGACTGCAGCAATGACCATTCCACTTCCTCCCAAGGATCCCTTTCCCCCTCCAAGGGCTGCAGACACATTTGCAGCTCCTTGTCCAAATGTTGTACCTCCTCCCACTGAGTCCACTTTTCCTCCACCATCTTGGAGACATGCTCAACCTTCAGCATCTCTGCTTGGGACAGTTGCTGTGCCTCACGCCAACCTTGGGTCTCTTCATCACCAGTCATTCGCTGGAAGCCTTTGCAGGCTGCCAGGTGAGATGTCAACACTCCGACCTCAAGTCAAACAGAACAAAGCAGTCAGAGACTACAGCTTGTCCCTTTCTGCCAAGGCTCATTGACTGTGAGGAAAGGGAACGAGCAGGAGAGGAGCAGATTCCACAAGGGATACAGACAGCTTGTGGCTTGTGTTCAACATCTATCTGGGTGACTGTGTTCACTTGCAAAAACACCTGAAGAAACAAGGAGAGCAGGAAGAGGCCAGCAGGAATGCATTCAGACGAGTGCTGGCAAAAGGGGAAAGCGACTTGTGCCACTGTCCAGAGCAGCAGCTGGGATTCAGCACACCAGGAAGTTTCCTTCAAAGCAGCTGGGATAGACACTACAGCAGGATGGCACTGAGAGGCATCACCCCAGCTCCCTGCTGCTCTGCAGAGGAAAGGCAAGAGGGGCTGAAACCACCAGACTGCAATGACTGCAGTGGCTATCGCTGTTTCACTCACTTGTTTTTGTAGAGAATCCTTCTTCTGAATCAGGTGATTAATTTTCTCTATGACAATTTTCAGTTCTTCCTCCAGCCTCTTCTTCTTTGTGTCGATCCTAGCCTCTGTTTCCTGCAGCTCTGCCGGGAGATTTTCCTTGATGTCCTCTAAAAAACACGAGAGAGACAGCTTGATGAGTGGAGTGACTTCTACTCTTTCATGACGCTGCCCCTGCCGCGGCTCTCCTCGCCCTGGCTAGCTGTTGCTCCCTAGCCGCTGGCAGCGCCGGGAGTGGGGAACGGTCTGGGAGCTCGTTGTCCCAGACCGAACCTTCAGAGCCTGTAAGCCACCAAGCTCTGCGGTCTCAGGTGCGTCGTGGGTGCCCAGTGAAGGCAAGGAGGAGGCTCAGAGTCCCAGGTTCTCTCCAGAAACCAGGTTTTATTCCAGGGTCGGGAGCAGTGGATGGGG